ATGATATTTTATCTGCTAGGGGATAACGTTCCTCTGTTTCAGATAAAATCTTATTGACATAGTAGATGGGGCATTGTATAGTATTTTCCTCTCGTACTAAAATTGAACTGATAGCCTGGGTAGAAACAGCTAGGTACAAATATAATCTTTCTCCTGACGTTGGTTAAGAAAGTAGTGGTGGGGAAGATAAATACTTTTGTAGCTATTCAAAGGCTTCTTGATACTCATCTGTCCATTGGAACCCAGAGCTACGAGAGCCTCTAAGTACCTTGAAGAAAGGAAAATATTTGTCTCCTGAATGTGCTAGGAAATGAGATAGTGCTGCAATTCTCCCATTTAATCTTTGGACCTCCTTTATATTTTTTGGTGGCACCATATCCTTCAGCGCCTTGATCATTTCGGGATTGGCTTCAATCCCTCTGTGGGTTACCATAAACCCCAAAAACTTTTCAGAAGTGACTCCATAAGTGCATTTAGTGGGGTTGAGTCGCATATTGTAATACCTCAATAAGTGGAAGCACTGCTCCAAGTCAAAGATATGTTGAGATTTTATGAGACTTTTTACCAATATATCATCTACGTACACCTCCATAATGAGCCCAATAAGGTTTTTAAAAACTTTATTCATGAAGCGCTGATAAGTTGCCCCAGCATTTTTGAGCCCGAAGGACATCACCCGATAACAGTATAGCCCTTTGTCTATCTGAAAGGCTAACTTCTTCATTAGTATGATTCATCTTTATTTGATTATAGTCAGAGTAGGCGTCTATAAAGCTCAACATCTGATATCCAGAAGTGGTATCGACTAATTGGTCAATACGAGGAAGCGGAAAGATGTCTTTTGGGCAGGCTTTATTGAGGTTTGTATAATCTATACACATTCTTCCTACTCAACTTCCCTTTCGAACCATAGCAACATTTTCTAACCAGGTAGGATAGTGTACCTCCCGTATAAATCCGACTTCTAAGAGTTTATCCACTTATTGTTCGATTACTTGTTGACGATCCGATACAAAGTTTCGTTTCTTCTGGATTATTGGTTTGCACGTCAGATTGATTTTGAGGGAGTATATAATTACTTCGGGGTCAATTACGGACATATGTGCCGGACTCCAAGCAAAAATATCCTGATTTGCACATATAAAATCTATGAATTTTTTCTTCTCATCGTTTGAGAGAAGTGATCCAATCTGCATCATCCTCGAAGGATGTTCTTCAGAGATAAGCATAGTAGTAAGGTCTTCTACAAGGGAAGCTCTCTGAGGGATAACCATTAGACGTGACTTGACCTACCTGAGATAGCAGGTTTGTGCTATTTGTTGATCTCCGTATACCACACTAACTCCTATCAGGGTATAAAACTTCAGCTTGAGGTGAGGGATAGAGGCGACAATCCAAAAAATTGACTGAAGCGGCCTCCCAAAGATAGCATTGTAAGTCGATTCTGACTTTACAATGATGAACTGAATGGAGTGTGTAGACTGTTGAGGAAATTCTCCAAGTACAACTGGGAGACTGATTATACCTTATGCTTGTACAGGTCGATTATCAAATCCATACAAAGGACCTACAGCAGGTTGAAGCTTTTCTCTTGAGAGACCCATGTTGAGAAAAATGGAGTAGAACAGGACATCTATGGAGCTTCTATTCTCCATAAGAATTCTTTTGACATTGTAACATGGGTCACCTATGCCTGCATTGATAACAAGCGGATCTTGATGAGGGGTTTTTACTCCCTACAGATCAAAATCGTCAAAGGTGATAGAGTGATCTATACGAGCCTTCTTTGGAGTTGGATTTTCATTTACATCCAAAAAGACTTGATCAGATAATAAGTGGCCTCCTCTAATTATCTTAATTTCACCAACTGCTATTCAATTAT